GGCCCCGCAGCAGGTGTGAGCTCAGCCCGGTGCATGAGCAGCTGGGCAGGGAGCAGGTTTCAAACTTTGCTGCTGGCTCCCCCGTGCTGCACGCGCTTTTCCAGGGCGAGCCTGCAGGTGGGAGCGGGATCATAAAATCATGAGTATGATGGGGGTGCGCATTCTAGATAAGAGCTCAGTTTATTCCAGAATTCTGACGTTTAAAAGGTAGGTGCGCATTATACTCGAGATTTTATGGTATACGCTCTGTTCCACCTTGTACCCAGACCTGAAGAGCTCTGTGTATGCTCAAAAGCATATTTCTCTCTCCAACAGAATTTGGTCCAATAAAATATATTACCTCAATCACTTTGTCTCTAACTTTAAAAGTTCATTCTCGTCCCCCCCGAATTGTTTCAAAAAGTTCTTTTAAGCTCATAACACTTTGCCTAGACGAGTGACACGTAGTCCCACAAGAACATAAACATTTGCATCTTCAAAGCCGTGACCTCATGAGATGCTTAGAGTAGGTCTCTACTGCAAATTTGTTTCCATACAGCTGTGCCATTGTAGCACTTCTGCCAGCTTAATAACTGCTGCTTCTCAAGAGGCAGTAGCTATGTGGGAGAAGCTCTCCTGCCAAGGTAGCACTGCCTACATGGGGGTGTAAGGTCAGTATAACTGTCATGCGTGCGGGGGTGAATTTTTCACATTGCGAAGTGACTTAAAAATGCCAAAGTAAGAGAGTAGTACAGACCTGAAGATGAAACTTAATTTGCTAACGTTTACATTAAGTCTGTAAGGTTCATGAAATTGCCATATTTGTCCCAGTGGGTAAAACCCATCCTCCTTCAGGGCAGAGAAAAATCTGGGAAGAATATTGAAGAAAGACTTGCTAAGGTTCTTTCCTCCCTAGATATCTGTACTATTTTTTTTCCATGGAAGGGGGTGACGCAGACCTGTATAATTTGTCTTGGTTTATAAGAAGAGTAGCAAAGAGTAACAACAGTGCTGCTATTGCGATTTTAAGTTGCTACACTTTTAAAATGTTTTCTTTTTTGTTCACTTGTGCTCTGCATATCTCTTTCCATTTCACTCCTTTTAGACAATGAAACTCTGCTGATCAATTTCACTTTGAAATTCCTATGTTCTAATACAATTGTGCTGGAGTTAGTTCATATCTAAACCATCTGTTAGAGACAAGGTAATATCTTTTATTGGACCAATTTCTGTTGGTGAAAGAGAAACTTTCAAATTACACAGAGCTCTTCTTCAGACCTGGGAAAATGTGTTACAGCGAAATGTAAGATGGAACAGATTGTTTAGCTTAAGTGGTGAAGAAGTAATATCCTGGACTGACCTAGCTACACCTGTATTGCATAATGCAAAGGAATTTTATTTTGAATGTAGGCTGTCCTTATTTTGATATTGTGTGGCAACATACTCCCTGCTGCAGACAGAACTAGCTGAGTTTTCAAATGGGAAAGATAAACATGTTTGTGGTATTTTAAGGCCACAAAGTTTGATACAATATACAGACCGCCCTCTCTATAAGCCCAAGGTAAGTTCCAAAAACATTGGACTTATAGCGAAACACCTTAAAGTGGGGATTTTTTTCCCCACAGCTCACTCACTTCCATTTGCGCAAATTGTTTTGTTTTTGTTGTTTTTGTGAGGGAGTGAAAGGGGTTGGGTTTTTTTGGATTTTTTTTTCTTTTGCATGACTTAAGAGTGGGTGATGGGAGGACTCTCAATGCATCAGTTCCTACAAGCATCAATTACTTTAGTGCAGAACCATTGTATACCGGGATGACTTACAGCGTGGATGCCATTGCAGCCAGTATCCATAGCCTTTTTTATATATGGTCTTCCAGCTGAAAAGGTGAAGTTCTGTTCTTCAAATCCACATGGCTTCCACTAATTGCAATAGGACATGAGTTCATAAAGGCCGTGAATATTTATGTAAGTGTATTTAATGTACTGAATCCTATTTTATTAAAAACATTTAAGGATTAATCCTTATGCTAGAAATATCTCAGTACAATAAGACACACACTTTTAACCTTAAACCATAAAGTAACTAGCAACTTCGAGTTCCAATAAAACACCATTCCTTTTTCTCTTGTAGGCCTTGGATTGTACACAGTAAATGCAGTATATGGAGATACCATTGTTATGCCTTGTCCTCAGGAAGTACCTAGTGAGCTGATGTTTGGAAAATGGAAATTTGTGAGTATGGCTTACCTTGAGCTTAATTATTGCCAGTATGAGTAGATTTTTTTTTTTTGTGGGAATAAAAGTGCAGATTCAAATTTACACAATTCCACTATTCTGCTGCCACGTGCAGATGAAGGTAGGTAGAATTCGTGCACCCTGTCAAGCCAAATTAAAAACATGCCAGGTTGCCTAACTTTTATTGATTTGAAAAAGCCATCCATACACATTTGAATCCTCTTAAAGCAGGAAATATTTTGTTTACATGAAGAGGGTCCCCAAGCTGGTAACTATTCCATACTGTTTCGTGCATCAGTCATTGTTTCTTTTGGGGTGGAGGTGGGGATGGAGGAGGGCAGGGGCAGATGACTGTTTTGCGGGGCCCCGGGCAGCATAACTCTGCGGGGCCCCCCCTTTGCCACGGCACATGCGCTGTGGCGCCACGGCGCATGCGCGGGGCTTTTTTAATCGCGGGACCCGGGGCGGCCGCCCCGTTCGCCCTGCCCTATATCCGCCCCTGGAGGAGGGACAGGGCTGTATACTACAGAGGGCAAACTGAGCCTTACTAGAGCTACCCAGGTTCTATTTGCCTGGGCAGCTAATGGCATGTGAAGAATGTGCTAGAAGCACAGTAGAAGAAAGCTAAAGTTGTCTTGACTCATTTAATTCATTTGTATTGGATACACAGAACAATACACAGTGAACTTCACTATTGGTAGTAAACGTCACTTTGTAGTTCATGTCATACACCATGGTATGGTTAAAAAAATATAGAGTAGATGGCAGCTTTTGGAATTATATGCAGTAATTTAATGCATATGGATTGGCAGAGGAATTATGATAAACATTATCCCCTTCCAGCTCTCTCAAACTAAAGTCTAAATAAACATTTTCCGTTCTTCTGAAAAGTCGATTTAACCATCCCCCCGATTATGATCCCCATTCCCAAAGCTGTCTTCTCACTTCCCAACACCAAAATGTTACTTGCATTGGCAGATGTTTTGAGAAGTGGAAATCTCATTTATTCAAGACAGACTTGGTTTCCAGCTCTCCTGCTTTGGCGGAGAATTTCCACTTCCAAGTTTTGCCTGCTTCTCGTTAATCAAAGTCTCTTGTTCTGGCGGTTTATATATTGTACATCCTTGTGCAACAAATGTGTCTTTTAAAAAGGGGTTGGACTGCACTGAACAACAACGAAATTACACCTTCCATACAAGATACCATCATTTCCATGAGTTTAACAGTTCTTGCAGGGAAAAGGGCAGGATTTCAAGAGCTCCAGAATTTTCAAAGCCACTTCTGTATTTTGAAATGTAAACTGCAGAGTCCTGTGGAGGTTGTTTGCTTAGAGAAGAGGCTTAAAATACTTCAAATAAGCCTACAAAAGATGGCCAGAATTTTGTTGAAAATTCCTCTTCCTTCTGGCCTTCTTTTTCTAGGAAGGCAGTTGTTGCACTTGGTGAACTCTCAAACAATTTTGAGAGAAAGAAATCAGGCTCTTGTTTTTCATCTTTTTGTAAGATATTATCCTTTCATTGGAAGCAAGCATGCCCTTGTCAATTTCTAGACTTGTTTTATAGACTGAGAGGATATTTGTTTCTACAGTAATATTGTAGGGTTAGCCCTTCCAGGATCCCGATACGGACTTTGAATTAAGGATGTTAAAGACTAGTCGACTATCCGATAAGCAAATGTTTATCAGATAGTCGACTAGTTGATTTCCCCCCCCCCCCCCCCCCCCCCAAAAAAAATCACACTTGCCTGCAGCCACTTTTGCAAATGACTCTGCACTACAGCTCAGCTGCAAGGCACTGTCTCTTTGAAACACCGAGGTGGCATTCAAAGGGGCTGTGCCACACGGCTGATCCCCGGCTCAGCGTTTCAAAGTGGCAGCGCCACGGTCAGCTGGGGACTGATCCCGGGCTCCTCGTGGCATTTCAGATCGCTGATCCTGGGTTCCAAGAGGGTGCTTCCTCTTTGAAATGCACGAGAGCTTCTGCTGGGGACGCTTGTACATTTCAAAGCTGGCACGCCCGTGTGCAGTCTGGGGTCAGCGGGACTTCCCGCTGGCCCCGGACTGCACACTGAGTTCTGCATTCCTCCTTTGAAATGTACAAGAGCCCCTCTTGTACATTTTGTATTGTTGTACATTTTGTATCTTGTATGGAAGGTGTAATTTCATTGTTGTTCAGTGCACTCCAACTCCTTTTTAAAAGACACATTTGTTGCACAAGGATTGTACATTTTGTACAAGAGGGGCTCTTGTACATTTCAAAGTAGGACTATGGAAGTGCCTATTGACTAGTCGAGTAGTGGATGAAAATTCCATCAACTAGTAAATTAACTGCTAGCAAATATTTCAAAACACAGCCTGCAATTCTGCCTCTTATGAATATTAATTTTCTCTATGGTAACTCTATGTAAAGTTTTGCTTTTGATATTTTCCATTTTTTTTAAAACAACTACATGCTGATTAAAGTAAGGAGGATGTCTAGAATCTACTTTGCAGGTTATCCTGATACACACAAATAATCTTTTATTGTAGGTATATTCCCATGCTTAGATGCCTCTGGGTGCTTTTAACAAAAAACTAATTTAGAAAAAAATGTGCACAGTTTTGCCTGAAAATCCCAGGCTGGGAATTACATTTGAACATCCCTGACCAACAATACAAAATACATTAAAAACAACCGACTGAAAAAGAAACTCAAGTCTTCAGTTTAACCTTGGATGCCTCTGACACTTCATATGCCTCTGGTATGTGGAAATGTAGCTCATTCCACAGCCACCAGCCTGTGTCAGAAAAAAACCCTTCCTCATTCCATGTCAGGAATTGTACCATGGAACAGTAATCCGTTCCAGTGCATCAGGTCTAACACCCAGTATGCTATGTAGCACAACAGACTGTCCTTCAAATGACAGATCTTATGATACCTCTTTGTACTTCTGTAGCACTAGACTAAACTGGAGAATACATTCCCCTTCCTGTCTCTCTAATCCCCCCCCCCCCCCAAATCAAAACAAAAACCCTAATCCTATGAATTATGTCCATTGACGACATTTTAAGCTGCATATTGGCTGGATAGCAGATGCTCATTGCAGATCTTGGAACATTTAAATAAAACTCTGTGTTTATGGAAAAGATAATTTATATACTTTTATTTTATTTTAGGAAACAGCAAATGACTCTCCAGTCTTTATTGCCTTCAGATCATCAACAAAAAAAAGTGTACAATATGATGACGTACCAGAATACAAAGACAGATTGAGTCTCTCAGAAAATTATACTTTATCCATCAAAAATGCAAGGATCAGTGATGAAAAAAGATTTGTATGTATGCTAGTAACTGAGGACAACGTGTTTGAAGAACCTACAGTAGTCAAAGTGTTCAGTAAGTAACAGCTAGCATAGTTAATATCTTCAATTAGGGAATTGCTGTTAAAAGAGAGATGAAAGCCAAAAGAAGAATAATATTAAGATGAATCAATGACTAACATTAGCAGTTTTCTGCAATAAAAAAGTCTAATCTGTAGCAGTTGTGTAATAGGGTTCTCTGTAGTTTTAGTGTGGATCTGAATGTTAAGTGTCCAGGCTGACACAGAGGAATTTCAGGGCTTGATCGTTTGTATGCACAAGCTACACCATTTTGTCCTTAAAATGAAAAATTTAAAAATAAAACAGATTAGGAACATTTTCACTTACTCTGTACATAAATATTTGGGGGAAAGGGAGTGGAGGGAGCAAAGAATTAGGTGATATTTTGGCAGTGATTGGTGTATGGGAGTTTAAAGAAATATATTTAAATATCCTCAAGAACATGAGGATAACAAAACTTTTAAAGGCTTAGAAACAGGATATAAAAAGCCCCAAACTCCATTTTCCCCCCCCCCCATCTTGAAATATTAGCAACAAAGTTGTATTATCATTATGGCTTAATGCTTGAAGCCATACACCTTACTGTTGAACACATCTGGCTAAGTTTTTCAAAAATAACAAGTAGTGCTGAGTTGCTAAATTTTTCAAGGTCCAGGATTTTCACAGACAAGTTGTTTGGCAATTTTTAAAATGGCCCCTTTAGGATTTCTCATGTAATATACCTAAAAATTAAGGCAATGAGCATAACTAGTCACTACTGAAAATATTGTCTGTAGCATTTCCTATTGTGAGTAGACTCTCTGACAACAGTGGGTTTTTCCTCCATGCCCCCCCCCCACCCCCTTAGTTTTTTCCTTTTGCTTCTTTGCATTTGTGTACTCAAGGTGCATGTTTTAAAGAAAGTTTACACAATGTTATGCTTCCACAGGAAGAGTGGAAAAATTAACAATATCAAAATGATTACATTTTGGCTCAAAGGAAATATATAGTCCACCAAATTTAAAACCAATGTTAGAACTCAAGTGGGGAGAAAATGTGAGGGATTCTTCAGTGTTTTTGTCCTAGTACCTTAACACAACAGTATCATTGCCCCAGTTAGTTTGAAGGGAAATTGAGAGTCAACAATAATTCACTTCCATTGTTTCAGTTTGACTGCAAGAACAATTAAATTAAGGAGAGCACAGATAAGTGTGCAGAGTGCTTGAAATAAGTGATCATTCTTTATTATGGTTATTGATCATGAAGGAATAAATATGCTGATGAAGGTGTATTATAGAGTGGATACCAAGTGTTTGAATACCAAATGACTGAATTACTATGTACAGTTCTGTTTCTAAGGACTACACAATGTTAGTTCAGGCTTGTTGCATGGCCTATACCTTTTATGTTGGCAATGGACAAACAAAGCTAGTATTGAGTGAAATCAGTACTGATTGAAACTGATAGTACTGATTGAAATTAGTCATGTGAACTAATCATGACCCCAAGAATAAGATTTAATACATGGCATGCTGAATAAAACTCTTATCAACTTCTTCAAATAATACAAAATAAATGTTTATGCTTATTTTACAATTACAACTAGCCAATTAGCCCGTCATAAGATGGGATTTTCAGGTCTCTTCTCCATGTCGGTCTTCTCTCCTGAGCCTCCGGTCTCTTGCTCTGTGTCTCTTTCTTTCTCTCCTCCTCCTCCTCCTACTGCCTCCTCCCCCCCCCCA